GATATCTTATAATTTTCTGCTTTGGGCAAGTTAATGACTCAACACAGGCTTACATGATCATCTATAAAAGGGGAGAAGCAGTCAAAAGTCTAGAATCCAAATATCTCCCATAGCTGGTAACGTGATAGGCAGACACTCAACTACTTTACTAAATAGTGTATTATTCACTCATAGATCTTAAATTCCTTTAATATTCTCATGACTTTCTACAAAAATACACAGTGTGTAAAGAAATGCATTCCTTTTTTGACTGGTATTAGGGATGACAGAGTAACCGCTCTTGCGCTGATAGTATACACAAGCCGCCCTCTTCTGATAGCGCCATTAATTTCTTTTAAGCCAATACCTAACCTGTTTGCTTCAGATTATCTTTTATCTTGACCAACATTAACTTCCAGTTTTCTCTACTTCTTTGACAGGCCTTGGCAACATCACATTCCTTACTTTGTGCTTGCTAAAGCTTTGTTTGCTTTACGTAGTTGGATGTGTTCAATGCATCTCCCAATGATCTAAAAAGCTGTAAAGTTAGAGTGAGTAGGTCAGGAGTATCTTGGCTTCGAGGGCTTTGGAATTCCTACTTCCTTGAAGAGCTCTAAAGAGTCATGGCAACACGAACAGACCTTCCTCCTGGTGATTTATTAGATGCTGCTCCCACTGGCCTGTCAAGCACAGGCCAGGAAACTAGACTGGAGCAGAACCGTCTACTGGCTTGAGAATCAATGGCCTGGAAAAGTAACTGAGACCATCTGAACAGCTGCTTCCAAAGATCGTCCAAGTCTAGCAGATTTTCACTGTTAAAGGACATTTCAACTCCAAACCAAGACCTTGCTTCCAACGTAGCAAAGTTCTGCAGAGAGGACATAAAACATGACTGAAGTCCTGTTCAGATGTATAACTTCAACCTGTTTTCCAAATACGGTTTCCGTCAGGAGAATGACATGACACAACACGCGAAGAAAATATATGTGTGCATATGCAGGCACAAAGGGAGGCAGTGGGTGTCTTTAACAGGGCGAGCTTTCTTAATTTTCTAACATAAAATAACCCACATCTCACCATAGTTCTTTCATTCCAGAAAAGCTCAGGAACTAAGTGCACTGACGCATTGAGAGCATATTTTCATGTGAGAAACAATAACACAAGGCTATTTTCATACAATACTTAACAATACTGAAATTGTCCTGTGGTTATTAGAAAAAGTATTTGAGTCTATAAAACAGGTCCAATATTTGTATAGGATGTAAATAAATTCTTAACTTTCTAAAAAACAAAATTTCTCAGCTTTCTCTATATAAAAACAACTCATTAAAAATTTGATTAAGATGTAGTTCTAGTTTTTCAACCAGTCTTTTTTTGCGTGTGCCAAATGTAAGATCAGACAATCAAGTGACTTGCTCAAGGTCATCTGGTCAAATCGGGTGGGATTAGAATTACTGGTTCCTGCTGTCCAAAGCCAGCCATAAATCCAACTTTTCTTGGAACTAAGCAGGCCAAAAGGGAAAAAACCATTCCATATTTCCTTTTCTCAATAATCAAAAGACAAAAGAAAAATTAGTTTAAGCAGTAAAAGTGCAAATGCTAAAATTTAATCAATACATCGCATATTACCTCTAACCACCTACAGGCACCTCTCTCAAAATTGGCAACTTTTAACAACTTGCAAAGGTCAGTCACCTTTATACAACCTTCCCATATGATGGCATCATAAACTAATTAAAATGTTTTAAAATCAGCACTTCACATACACATCAATAAATTGTTCACTTATCTTCTAAAAGACCTGATAAGACTGTAATATGGAAGTACTCTGAGCTCTTGGGCCTTTTTTATAAAAGGTGAAGGATCATAAATAAGTTCAAAGTTTTCTTCAGAATCCTGAAAGGAATAGGGTTTTTTCATCAGTGCAGGTCCAATAAGTGATTAAATAAACAAGAATCACTCAAGCTATGGGGCAGACAGGACTAGAGAAAAGAGGAATTTTTATCACCATATATCACCTTCCTCTTCCATTTATAAATCCACCACTTCATTCACACTTTCTGCCCCATCTTTCTCATTTCTATTTTTAAACTGCTGATATAAAACATTACTTTTGAATTAACAACAACAAAACAAACATAATGTCCAATGAAGCCATATTTTTAAAAAGTACTAATTGGTTTGGGATGGCGATACAAAGTAGCTAAAAGTACAAGGTATTTGCTACAAACTCACTATAGTCAAATTTAGTAATTTTCCTCACATCCAATTTCCTTGGTCAAATAGTACCATCACCCCATTTCAGATGATCCCTCAAGTTCAGGAAAATTTTCCTTTGCTCTGAAACTATGAGTCACCGATATTACAGCTGGCATTAGATATCAAAAGTACTAAGTTAATGGCTAGGCTGAAATTGTGGCTGGGTTATATTATAACCAACATGAGTTTTCTCATCTCGAATTCAAGTCTACCTAGTTCTGAATACAGTTGTAACACACTCTTGGAGTGGTGATTTCTCTTTAGCCCTTGAGCAAAATGTGGCCACAGGGCATATGAAGCAAATCAAAAGCAAGGACTGGAAAAAATTAAACCTGGAAGAAAATATAAGTCTGACACTTTCCGTTTTGCCAGACAACAATTGTCGTTACTTGGAAATGTATTAGGTTGAGCCATACCAAACTGCCACTATATACAACTGTCTTTGCCCCGCAAAAACAGAAATTTCATATGGTTTGACCTAATATTATTTTCTAAGCTCATTTTAATAATTATCCCAAATAAGGTTTTCCTATCTCAAAGCACATAAAACCGTATAGTTTTATGTTAGTTAGGGTTCCACTGACCTAAAAATCTACCACTGAGGAATTTTAATTAAGTTGGTAAGTTCCATTTCTGTTGGAGAACCTGGCTTCTAATCCTTCTAATCAAAAGGGTGATCACCAACTCAGAGGGATATATTTTTCCATGTGGATATGGCTGATTTATGCATCCACAGCAGAAAATACCTGTCACTTTCACAAAAGGGGTTACAGCTGCAAGACTGCTTCGAGCTCCAAATCCATCATTTCACACCCATTTTTATCCCTCTAATATCCAGTATGTGAATGAGCTCTTCTTATTTAATTTCACTAATTACTCAACCTGTTCTTATTCTGCCAAAATTCCTATCTACTGACCCATCGTACCATATACGCTGGCTTCCCAGAGGGATGCTTTCCCTAAGACACCTCAGAAATTAGTAGGGTGATCTGATGTTGCCTGTTCTATCTCCCTAGACCTAGTTTATAGTACAAGCCATCAATTAACCATCAAGTAAAATATGCTTCCCCCCAAAAATCAGGAGTCTCCTGCTCTATCTAGAAATGTCTCTATTCAGCTAGTTCCGTGTTGATGGGTCAAACAGAATGGCACTAGTCGCTACTACAATCCTAAGGGGTATTTTCCTATAGTTAATGCAATCATCAACCTTTTCATAACATACAAATAATCCAGACTTTTTCTAGTAGAATTTACTATCCTTAGCCCACCCCCGATCATTTTTCACCCTAAACTGAGGTTTTCTCTAGAGCCCCAGGCAAACACATTCCTGAAACCTCCCATCTACTCCCTTTCCTCTACAGTTTTTTGGTGTGTGGTTTTTTTTTTTTAATGAAAACTATGTATCAGGTACAGTGATAAGTGCTGTAAAAGGGACTTCATCTACTTCCACCCTTCAAACCTTAAGAGGTTAGGGTCAGTAGCCCATTTTACAGAGGAGAAAAGCTGAGGTTGGACCACTACCCAAGGTCATACAGGGCAGAGATTCAAATCCAAGCCTGACCTCAATGTCCTCTGACCTTAACACCCCCATACTGTGGGTTCCTTCTAATCTCCCTTCCTGCCCTAGATGCCTGCTCCGTGGTCCTATGAAGTCCCGAGCAGGGTTCTCTTTCTTCAGTGGCTCTTTCCTTTGAAGGACATGCCTTTGAGAAGCAGGGGTACCCATTCCATCTTTTCTCCCCCTTTCCCACCTGCCACCTTTCCTCCAGGGCCCTTATCACATTCCTCCTCTAGGGCCAATTTAAATGTCCCCTCTGACCCCAGAGCAGGCACCACGGACTACTGAAGGGCCACCTTCTCTCCTCGAGACTGGGAGAGGGCACAAGTGGAAGAGAGAAGAGGGCAGACGGCACCTGAAGTCCTTCCTTCAGGTACAAACTGTGGCAGAGGACCGCAGGAGGGTGGTTTGAGACGCGGAGGAGGCAGAAACGTCCGGGAGGCAAGTGACTAGCGAGTGCCCTTGGGGTAGGCGGGGCGGGGGTGGGAGCAGAGCTGGGAAAAGGCTTGGACGCACCAGGGTTAGTGGCTGGAATGGGGAGGGATGCCACTGGGCGGCGAGGCAAGGGATCCGGCCACTGGGGAGAGAACATGGGTGCTGGGGACGACCTGGAGGTGGATGTAGCCGGGGAAAGTGGTGGGAAGAAAGGGCAGGGAGGATGAGCAGGAAACGGTAGAGTCATCGGGGAGGCGCAAGAGGGACGATGGATGGCCACGGGGAAGGCGGGGCGCCTTCAGATCCGGGCAAGGGGTCTCGATGCTCGGCGAGAACCCGCGGGCTGGCCGGGGCGGTTCGGGGTGCACGGAATGCCGGGAGCGGGGGCTCGAGGAGACCCCGGGGGAGGAGGAGCGGGAGCTCTGGAGCCGGGAAGCGGGAAGTGCGGGCTCTAAGGCGGTCGGAGCGGGAAGGGGGGAGTCCCGGCACGAAGGAGGGGTGTGTGGGAGCACGCTGCGTTCCCCATGGGCTGAGGTTAGGGGGGCACGGGGGAGGCGGACGGGGGCGCGGGGGAGTTCCGGAGCCCGTCGGGGTGTAGAGGGCGGGAATGTCCTGGCGTCTCCCGAGGATCAGGCTGGGGTCCCCGTAGTTTTCTGAGCGCCAGGCTCCGGGTCGCCTCCGGGCCGGGGTCCCTGCGCCGCGGGGCGGGGCTTCCCGGGGCCCCTCGAGACCGGAGCGGCACCTCCCGGGTCCCATGTCCCCTTCTTACCTATACCGGGAGCCACATAGACGAAGTAGAGCAGCGAGGACGAGAGCGAGAAGAAGAAGAGCGCGGCGATCAGCGAGCGGCGCGGCAGCCGCAGCAGCCCCCGGCGGACGCGCATGCTGCAGCCAGGGGGCCGCTCGAGGGCCGGGCCGGGCCTGCTCCGACCGCTTCCCGTCCGCCGCCTCCCGGGCCTCCTCCGCCGCCTGGGCCTCGGCCACCACCTCCCGGGTCTTGCCGGCCGCCGCCTCGCCGCTCCCAGCCGCCGGCCGCCGCGGACCCGGACACATGAAGCGGGCGGGGGCCGGAGCGGCCCGGAGCTTCCAGAGCTACGAGAGCGGGGCGGGCGGCTGGGGGCGGGGCGGGGCGGGGCGGGCGGGGCGGGGCCAGCGAATAGGCCCCGCCGCGGAGGGCGCGCGCGCGCCTTGCGGCCCCCGCCGCCGCTCGGAGGCCCGATGGGAACGTCGCCAAATGGCGACAGCCCCTCTCCCGGCACGGCCACCGCCCAGGCTTTCGGGGAACATCGTTCAGGTGCCCGTCGGCTCTGCGCTTCGCACCCCCGACCCAGGAGCCAAGGGATCGTCTGCAGTGTCTGAAGCGGCTGGTCGCCAAATGCAGCGGAAGATCTGGGATTGGAGGCAATACGCCTTCATTCATTCACCCATTCACTCATTCGCTCAGTTCACCATTTATGGAACGCCAGACGTAGCCCAGACACCGTTCTTGACCCTGGGGAGGCTACCAAGAACAAAACAAAATCTGTGTCTTCTTGGAATTTATATTCAAATAGGAGAAAACGAAACATCGATTCATCCTATCAGGTACTGATAAAGGATAGGAGCACAATAAACGAGGAGGAAGGTAGTGGCGTCAAGGAAGGCCTCACTGAGCAGGTGACATGAACTGAGGCATAAAAGGATGAATAGCAGATGCAAAGGCCTGAGGTTAAAAAGCCTGATCTGCCCTCAAGTTGCCTCCAGGAAGACAGGGAGAGCTGCAGGAATGAGGTTGGAGCTCTAGGCAGGGTCCACATGCCACAGAATCATAAGGAATGTAAGGATAACAGTTAACAATGTGAAGACATGTGTTAAGAGGTACTGGGTTTTATATATCTCTTTACATCCCCCTCAACATTCCTGAGATATGTGCTCTTATTCCTATGATGTTTGTTGTTGTTGTTGTTTTAAAGAAGAAACAAATTCCTAGAGTAAGAAGCAATTCACCCAAGTCTTGGAGAAAGGGTAAGAGCTCAAATCAAAACTGATCTGTCTCCCAAGGCATACCCTTGAGCCTAGGCTGTAAACGCCTCAGCATTCCACCTCATCCCTAATTCTCACCCTGCAGGTAAGTTGGTATCCTATTCCATAGGAGAGTGTGAGACCATATTCGAAACACGTGGCTTTACAATCAGCTCCAGGCCAGAGGCTCTCCAGAGGCAGTGAGCAGTCCCTAGATAGAAGACTTACCTCCAGGGCGGGTAGAACCATCCCCAGCTTCCAGAAGCTGCCGGCTGAACTGAGGAGGCAAGTGTCCCCTGTGAAGACACATCTGAACCTGGAGGCACTGTCTTGGGATGCCGGAAAGCAGTCAGGAGGAGAGAGGATTTTGCAGGGATTCTGTGAAAACTAACAATAATCCTGTCTTATATTCCTAAAGTTGATTTATACTTTTCACAGCGTTTCTTTGATCCTTTCAGTGAGGGCTCTAGAACCAGACTGCCCAGTTCCCTGACTCCCAGCTCTTCTTACCTGAGTGACATTAAGTTACTTAATCTCTCTGGGCCTCTCAGTAACATGGGGGATGTTATTAGTAAAAACTGCATCAAGTTGGTGTGAGGATCTGAGTAATACATGCAAAGCCTGGCGCACACAGTAAATGCACACAACTCACCAGCTCCAACAGCGCTGAGAAATGAGGTGGAAGAGAAGAGGCTTAAACAACAAAATGGAAAAGCAGAGAATTTTGACTCAGATGGATGTGGGTTCAAATCGTGGCCTGGCTTAAGCTGGCCATGTGACCTTGAGTAAATCACTTGCCCCTCTGAGCTTCTATTTGTTATCTGTGAAATGATGTGGAATAAGCGAGAGGGCAGAGGTGAAGCCCTAGACCCGAAGTCCTGCGTCGCTGAAATGAGCTGACATGAACTGCTTTTTGTTGGGCCCACATGATGACCTCTCCCCTACCATGTGTCCAATAAACAGTTTCAAACATACAGAAAACTTGAAATAGTGGTACAAAGAATACTCTCCATATGGATTCAACGATTGTTATCATTTTTCCAGATTTATCTATCTATATTCATATGTACGATTTTTTTCTGAATTATTTGAAAGTAAGTTGCTGCTTCACTGGTACATCCTGTCTCAATACTTCAGCAAAGAATCCTAAGAAAAATTGCATTCTCCTAGATAAACACAATAATATTACCACTCCTAAGAAAATGAACAAACATACTATAATATCCTGTAATATATGGTTCATTTCCATGTGTCTCCATTTGTTTAAAGGATTCCTTTATAGGTGTTTAACTTTCAACAGTATCAAATCAAGGTTTACACATTGCATTTGGAATTTTTTTCTAGTATTTATCTACAACACTCCCTCTGCCTTTTTTTTTTAAACATTTCCCCCAACACTTTATTTAAAACATTTTTTAAACAATTCTATTTATTTTTAAAGAGGGGAAGAGAGGGAGAGAAACACCAATATGGGGTTGCCTCTCGTGGGCCCCCCTGTTGGAGACCTGGCCCATAACCCAGGCATGTGTCCTGACTGGGAATCAAACCAGTAACCCTTTGGTTCAGAGGCTGGCACTCAGTCTACTGAGCCACACCAGCCAAGGCTATTTAAAACATTTTTAAGTCTACAGGGAAGTTGCAAGAATAGTACAATGAACATCCATCTACCACTGGATCAATTGTACTTCCATGTGGAGGAAAAAAAAAAGACTTCCCACTGCTCCCTCACACCTTCCACAAAATCAATTCAAGTTGAATTGTAACTCCAACTGTAAACTGTAAAACAAAAAAAGCTTTTAGACAAAAACATAAAAGAATATCTTCATGTCCTTGGAGTAGGCAAAGAGTTGTCAGAGGACACAAACACCAAACAAAACAGGAAATTTTGATAGATTGGGCTACAGACAAATAAGAATTTCTCTTCATCAAAATACACCTTTAAGGAGAAAATATAGGTTGCATAGTAAGATAAGAAATAGAGATGTCTTGAGCTGATAAAGAACTCATATCCAAAATAATAAAGACAAGAGCAACAATCCAATAAGAAAAAGAAAAACAAGCAAAAGGCTTGAATATGCATCTCATAAAAGAATATATCCAAGTGGCCAATAAGCATATGGAAAGATGCCACATCTTTTGAAAAATGGAAATGGAAACCACACTGCAGTACTCTCCGTCGGCAGCTGGTTTGGAGGAAGAGAGCGGGCACTTGGGGCTGAGCCCTGAGGAAGTCTAGCTTTGAATGGCATGGTAGAGAGTCTTACGCTGCCCAGAATACAGGGGGATAGGAGGCTGGGTGTGCTGGAAGCCGAGGCAAGAAGTGCTTCTTGTGAAGAGGCCAGAGGTTCCGGGCACCCTCTTTGAGAAAGCCGTTGCACAAAAGCCATCGCACAATCCATGAAGACTAATCTCCAGCAGTGTGATAACATCACAAAGCAATGAATATCTTAGTTCCAAATGCCAGGGGCAGTCAGTGAATAAGGATCATTGACTAGAGCAGAACTGCTGTTGAAGTCCCAGGAGCCTTAGCACTGAAAGCTTCCAGTACCAGAAATGCCAGCAGACTATGCATTGACTGTGAGGTTCACCCTGGTTAGCTCCAGCCAGACAGTGGTTAATCTGCCCCTTTGAGAGGAAACTGAGGCTTGGAGCCAAAGCAACAGGCATCACTTCCTGCCAGCAGCTTTAAAAGCCAGTGCATCTTTTGCTGCTGTTTTTCCCCTACCATAATAACCATCGATTTTCCGCAGAAGAGCTGTCTCAATTGTTGGGTTCCACAGTGAGGAGGAAGCTCCCTAAACCCACCTGGCCAGTGATGAACACGTGGCATGAGCAAGAACTAAAACTCTGTTTTAAGCCTCTGAGATATGAGGGCTGTTTGTCACCACTGACTGACCACAAACATACTCTTCTGCAATTTGCTTTCTCTCGACACTATTTTTATAAAATGTATCCACAATGAAACATGTAGCTTGAGTTTATTCATTTTCCCTGCTGTATAGTATTTCATCATATAATTGGGCCACATTTTTCAAAGTCCTTTTTTCCCTGATGATATCTAGTTAGTTTGTATCCAATATTTTGCTATTACTGATGTGTAGATCCTTAGCCACAATTCCAAATCTAAAAAATCTGAAACCTAGTAGTTCTTTCATAATTTACTTGGCAGCAAGACCTGACCTGATCTGAACTTCTTTAGTGACAAAACTGGACTTCAGCAGACGGAAAGCTAGCTATAATCTTCATCACACTTCATAGCAATATACATGCTCCTCTGAGGAAATATTTAGGTTTTTTGCTCACAGGGTGACCTATCCCGCTCAAGGAGTGCTTTGTAAATATTCAGTGTGTGTACCATATTACCTTCAAAATTCTGTGGTTTTCTAAATTTCAAAACACTTCTGACCTCAAGGAGTTTGGATAAGAGATGATGGCCCAGTATGAACACCACTGCAATGAACGCGTGTGACAGAATCTATTTTCCCAAGATGGCCTCAACCATATTTCCCATTTCCATGCTCTTCTAGAACTTTCTTTATTTCCCCTCCCTTTGAATCTGGGTGGGACTGTGAACACTTATAGCCAAAAAAAGGAAGAAGAGATGCCACCACACAGGTTCTGAAGTAACGCAGCTTCTGACATGTTGGTTGGCCTTAGCCGCCATGCTGTGAGAAAGCCCAGGTGCTCTGGTCAATGGCCCCAGCAGAGGTCCCAGCTGACAGCCAGCATCAATCACCAGACATGTAAGAAAAGAAACCTCTAGATATCCCGGCCCCCAACTGCCAAATCAGCCTCAACCTTCAAGTCTCCCCAGCAGAAGCTCTAGAGAAGCTGTCTCCACTGTACCCTTTGCAAATCTATAAGCATGATAAAGTGGTTATCGGTAATACTACTTAGTTTGGAGTGGACACTGGACAGCAATAATAACTGTAACAGTGCCCTTCTGTGTGTATCCTGTGCATCAGGGCAAAAGTT